AAATGAGCCAGGAAGGGTGGCACATGCCTGTAATCCCAGCTGCTAAGCAGGCTGAGGCAGGAAGATTCCAAGTTTGAGCCCAGTTTGGGCAACTTAGTGAGATTCTATCTCAATTTAAGAAAAAAATATTGAGGGTGGGGGAAGGGTGGGGATGTAGCTCAGTGTGAAGACCTTGGGTTCAATCCCCAGTACTGAAAAAATAAAAGGAAAAGGAAAACTGCTGGGGACAGTAGCTCAGTAGTAGAGCCCTTGCCTAGCATGCATGAGGCCCCAGCTTTGATCTCCAGTGCTACAGAAAAAGGGCAAAGTTTAAGAAGAAAAAGAAACACACTATAGAGTGTTTCTCAGTGTTCCCACAAGATTCCATTGTTATTTCATTTGGACACAACACCGCGCCCTATCTGACTTCCCTTTGAGATGGCGACCGTGGCTGCAGGTTGGAAGTCTGTGCAAAGCAGAAGCGGAGAGTGGAGGGAGGAGTGACAGAAGGTGACGCCCCCTGCTGGAGGGCGAGGAGGTTAAGACCCAGCAGAAAGGCTTCCCTGATGGGTTGGCCTCCGTGTGAGGGGTGTCAAGGGCAACGGCAAGGTTTCTGGCCTGAGCTACTGGGAGGGTTTGGACTCTATCCCAGAGACAGGAGGGAGTCCGAGGAAGATGTCGAGGCTGGGGGTGGGGGTGGGGACTCCGTCAGAGGCCAAAATCACCAAGGTGGCAGCCAGCGCTGCCGGGAACACAGCCCTGGGAGACAAGAAACAGAAGGATTCTAAGCCCGGCTCAGCTCCCAAGTGGCTGTGGGCTCCTGAGCAAGATTAAACTCTCTCTGGACCTCAGTTTCCCCATCCTACAAAGAACTTGTTGGGAATGAAAGACCCCTGAAGGCCTCTCGGTGCTGAGACATAACTGCTCCAGTTTCTCTGACCCGTCTCCCCAGGATGTTATGAGCGCCTCCCTCAGCCTCCTCCCCCAGCCCATCCCCGCACCCCAGGCCAGGACACAGAGGTGCCCTGGTCCCGGAGCCTGCAGGATGTGACCACGGGCAACATTTGTGCAGCACACATTCTGTGCAAGGACATACGGAGACCACACAGCGACCCGGAGGTGAGGGCTGCTCAGTACTCTCATTTGGAGGTGGGGGAAGGGAGGCTCTAGAGAGGTTAAATGACTTGCCCAGAGACACAGAGGGGAACTGGGCCCAGAGGACGTCTTCCCACCTGCACTGCTACCTACCATCCTGGCCCAGCCAGGGCACCTCCCACCCAGATGGCCCAAGTTACCTCCTCACCTGGCTCCTTGCTTACTCCTGCCGCTGCCCCTTACACTGTGTTCTTTGCATGCAGTCAGAAAGATCTTGTGACAATACCTCAGTCAGCTCACGTCCTTTCTCTGCTCAAACCCCTCCACGGGTCCCACTTAGCTGAGAGTCCACTCTAAGTCTACAGCAGCCCCTCCAGGCCCCACGCATTCTGTTCCCCACCTAACTCTCTGGCCTCTTCCCTCCCATTATTCCCTCTCCCACTTCTCAGCTTTCCTGGGCTCCTGGATTTTCCTCCAACTCACCAGCCAGTCATGCTTCTACCTCAGGGCCTTTGCACCTGCTGTGCCCTCTGCCTGCAATGCACAGACCATGTAGCCCACTCCTTCACTTCCTTCAGGCCTCTGCTCAGACCTCATATCCTCAGTGAGGCCTTCCCTGTCCACTTTGTTGAAACTTCCGCCACCCTTAATCCCTGTGTGCTCGATCTCTCTTTCTCATCTTCCCTGATATATTTTCCCCACAGGACTTACTGTTATCTATATATCTTACTGCTTTTGCTTATTCATTTTCTATCTCCCTAGAATGTGAGCTCATGAGCTCAGAATTTGTGTCTGTTTTGTTCACTGCTATATCCCCAGTGATTAGCACGGTTCCCAGCGTACAGTCATTGCTCAATAAATAGTCACCGAGTGGCTATCAGCCTTTAGTGTTCATGTCTGTGCAGTGCTGTATTTTTGCACTATATTTTTGTGCAATGCATTGAGCTAACTGCTTTGTGCCCTGGCTTCTGATCATATCTCTCCATCTGCCCTTCCCCTGCTGAGAGATCCAGGCATAGAAGCTGGCTCCATCCCAGCCCCCAGTGTGACCCCTCTCCCTCAAGCGTCCCTTAGATGTCCAAGTCATTCTTTGCTTCAGATGACCCTAGGACTCCAACTCACAAACTCCACACCAGCAATTTTCCTGCCGCTCCTCACAGCTGGTTAGTGGGCTGTGACATCAACTAGCACTTTTCAGTAGGAGACAAGAGCAGAGTCAGAGTTTGAGCTCAGGGTGTAGGAAAAGCATAGACTGAGGTACAGGGGAAGTACGGGTCTGTGAAACTTTTGTCTCTGTTTGATATGCGCTGCATCATGATTGAAACGCATTTCTCACTGTGAGTTGGAAAAGCTTGCAAAACCTCGCACTACCCAGTCCTGCCCCTGGACTGAGTGCGTGGATGATGTTAATTGCAGTCAGGTTTGTCTCTCTGCTGAGCCCCATGCCATACGCTTTTGCTCACCCAGGCTTGAGGACTCCTCATCACACCCTGAGCATGATTATGATTCCATTTGACAGATGGTAACACTGAGGCTCAGACTGGAGAAAGTCCATCCCCACGGTCATGGGACTGGGAAGGAGAAGAGCGAGACTTGAGCCCCAGCCAGCCTTCCTCCTAAACTGGCACATGTGACACCTGCCCACTTGCCTGCTGGCCCAGCTCCTCCCGATCTGCTCCCCACATATAAGGAATAATATATGCCAAGCCCATGCTCAGCCCCCTGTCCCCAGTGGACACTACCTCATTGACCCTTCAAGGCCCCAGACAACAGTATCCTTTCAAACCCCACTTTGCAGGCTAAAGACCTGAGGTCTTTCATTCCAGAAGAAACAAGCTAGAAAGTGTTTGCAAGGGTCTGCCATTCAATCTCACTTCCCAAACTTCCCTCTTTGCGAGGCAGAAGAGAGAAATGGCTAAGAATGTGTCTTTGCCTGGATTCAAATCCCATCCCTCAAATCTTTGTAGCTGTGTGACCCCAGGCAAGTTCTCTGAGCCTCTAGTTTCTTATTCTGCAAAATGAGGGTAATCATCCTAACCTTCCCATATGACCACACTTGAGACTTAAATAAGTTAGAACACACACGAAGTTCTTAGCATAGTGATCACACTCCCGTGTGGGAAACCTTCCAACAGCCCTGTGCTATTATTTGTTCCCCATTTTGTCACAGAGGAAGGAAGTCCCTTGCTAGTTCACCCAGCGAGGAAGTGGGAAGGTCAGGATTTGGCTGTAGATCTGCCTTGGCTTTGAACTACCAAGTCACAACAGCCCTTTAAGAAGCACTGGCATCAACAGCAGCATTTTCCAAATCGGGAACATGAGACTCAGAAAGGGTAAGAACATGCCCAAGGCACACAGCATGGAGATGACACAGCGAGGATTCAAGCCCAGGCTGTGCATGCCCAGGTGCAGGCGGCTCTTGGCACAGCACGGTGAGGGCAGGCGGAAAGAGCAGGTGGGCGCTGCCCTTGCTCCAGCCTGGCCTGAGTGGTGTCCCGGCTTGGCCCCTGCCCTGCCCACAGTGGCTGCTCCCCTGAAAGCTCTGAGATGGTGACACTGGGTGGCACAGATGATAGCAGAGGGTGCAGCCCCTTCTGCTTGTCTCCGATTAGGGCCCTGCAATCCCCCAGGATTTGGCGCTTGGAAAGCTGACGTTGGGTTGCTATGGTGATGGGTTTGGGGCGGTTGCCATGGCAGCAGAACTAGCCTGGGTTTAAAAATATCTAGGAGGAGGTTTGTGTTTGTGTGTGAGTGTGAGTGCGTGACCGACTGTGCTGTTGTGTGCGTCCAAATGGGAGGGTTTGGGAGGGGTGGGTGGAGCTGGGGCTGTAGGCATGATGGGGGGCACCGAGCACCCCATAACACTCCATGTGTGTTGCATGTGTCCATGAGTGGCCCTGGAGGTCCAGTCGTTGTGTTATGTTATGTGGACCCCACATCTAAATGTATGTGACACCCAACTTACCTGTGCAAAGCATGATCAAGGCAGTTCATCATTCTATAGATCTCACATCACTTATACGTAGGTCGTATGTAACACAGACTATGCACGCCTTGAGGCTTTGATCATGTATGTATAACTTCTCGGGTGCGTGGAGTTGTTGAGTCTGAATATATGTGCCCAGGACATACATGGACAGTCCACGTGACCATCTTCTTATTTGACAGGCATCTATTTGTATGTGAAAGCTCATGTGGTGGCTTTGGATGGAAATTACTGAATGTGCATCACTGGTGAGGGTGAGTGTGTGTGTGTGTGTGTGTGTGTGTGTGCAAATGTGTGCCCAGTGGTCATCCCCTGGGAGCCTCCCTACATCCATGTGCCTGTGTGAAACTGTGCTGAGACCATGCACCTGTGTTACCTGGAGCAAGCCCTGTGTTGCTCTGTAGCTGAGGGGGCAACTTCAAGCCCAACTCCATGGAAGTTGGGACACGTACCTGTGTGGTATGAGTCTGTGTGACTTGAAGAGCCTGAGGTGTGGCTCTCAGCCTGACCTCAGTCTCTCCCTGTATCCCTCTTGCCTCTTGCCTGTCTCCATGGCAACCAGCTCCTCAGCTCCCTCCAGGAAGATGGAGGGGGAGGATTCAGGCTGCAGTGGACCACAACCTCCTCCCATCCCCCTTGGCTCCAGGGACAATGGGGGGGGAGGGGACAGATGGGCGGCCACCCTACCCACCCCAGGCCATCTGCTCCCCCCTATCCTGGGGACCATAGCAAGGGAGGGAGTAGAGCAGATCCCCAGCGTCACAGACACCCCCCCCCAGCTGCCACAATTTCCCCATCACCTCCCTCCATGCCTAATCTTGCCTCTAGCCAAGCCACGAGAGAAGACTCCTTGGAGACCAGGAAACTAAGCAGAAGGAAATTTGTGTATCAGAGAACACAGACTATTATCAATGATCCATTCTGAAGAAGAACCTCCTACCTCCAATGACTTCAGGCTCGGACAAGGGGCCTGTTCTCTTCGAGTCCACTTTCCCTCTGTCTGTGTGGCTGGACAAGACGCACTCCATATTCCCGGGCAGTGGCTTTGCCGTGGGAAGGCCAGCATCTCCTAACGTGCTGGGTAGTCAGTACTGTACTCCATCCACAAGAGCCCAGCTGTGTGCTCCCTTGTTGAATCTGAGTATTTGGGACACTGTCTGGCACTCAGTAGGTGGTCACAAGTACTGTTGAGGGAGTTGAGGACCAGTTGTAAGCCTGCCTTAGTGCTACCTGCTGTAGGTAGCTTGGGGGGTTACTGCATTCCATCCCCTGGGGCCTCGCAGCACACTTGTGTCCGTTCTTCATGGAACAGATGAAAGATCTGAAGGGGAATTTTCTTGCTGCCGTCCGGGTTAGGAGACACCATGAAGTGAAATTTCTTATTTTGACCAAGTGAGGTCAGGGCTCTGAGGCTCAGTTTTCTCACCTGTAAAATGGGGATAAAAGCATCTCACAGACTCATTTGCCTTGGTATTTCATGCGATGACATCTGTGAAGCGTGTACATAACAGTTAATCCTAGCACATAGTAAATGCTCAAGAAACTCCTTTAAAGGTGAGGGGTGGGGAAGGCGTGGAGGAGCTCAGGGTCCTTATTCCATCCGGGGAGCCAGCGGGTCTCCCTTGCTACCGCTGCGAGGGGCGTGGCCAACCCGGAGGGACAAGGTCCAGACTTCAAGGGCGGACCAATGGAGGCGCCGAGGGGCGTGACCATGACCTACATGGGTGTGGCCTCACGCGGGTGGGAGGAGCCAGCCGCTGTGGGAGCCTCCGGGAAGAAGATGCTCGGGCCAGCAGCCACCGCAAGCCCCGTCGCCGGTGCTGCCCGCGCCCGCTGCCCCTCGGGTCCCCACTAGCGGCCGTCTGCGCCTCCCGCCTCCGGCCCCCCCGCCCCGAATAGGGCCTGGGGGGCTCGGCCCTCCCCCCGGCGAGCAGAGAAAGGGAGAGGGGGATCCTGTCCCCGCGAGTGGCGCGGCCAGTGCCCGGCCTCGGTGATCCGGGGAGAGACCCCACCCCTCAGTGCTGCCCGGGTCGATCCGAGAGACCCCCCCCCCCGCGCCCTCCC